GGACCCTGAAGTTCAAAGAGGAAGAGTTTGAACGTAAGTTCACACAGCAAAAAATGGCAGAACTGAGATTTAAACCCAGGTATCCAAAGTATCAGACTAAACCATGTGAAACTGCTGAGAGTTGACTGTGACCTAAAAAATCAGAAATTTCAGATGGTTCAGTTTTGTGCATACTCTGTGCACTGTCCTGTATTATTCTTGATAGAATTCAGAATCAGGATGAAAAGCTAGAAACAATGGTGTAAGGAATTGTAAGAAAAAAGAGAATCTGAATGGTTAATGTATACTTGCTGAGGGAGGGTTAGGAATGCTTGAAAATTTCAGCATTGATCCAATAATAAGTGTGAACTCTTTGCATTCAGTACAGTACAATACTTGGCACTTAGTCCTCAAAAATGGGGCCAAAGGTTCTGCACAGAGAAAAAGCAATAACAAATTAGCCATATAATGTTGAAGGGAATCTGAGCTGGGCATTACAAGATTGGGAGGAATTAGCAAGAAGGAGAGAGTAGAATGTTGATCATGATATACAGGCCACTGAAAAGACCACCCTTATAAGGAGTTAAAAACTGTTTTGGTGTAGAAAAGCATTTTGAAGTCTGAAGTGGTTGCATTATTACCAAAGATGAAAGTAATTTTTTTTTTTTTTTTGGTACTGGGAATCGAACTTGGGATCTTGTGCTTGCAGGGCAGGTGGCAGAACCACTGAGCTAAATCCCTGGCCCAAAAGTAATATTTCAAGAGTTTTTCTTCAAAATTATTTTATGATTTTATTCCACAAATTGTAGCAGTCCCTTTTGCTGTTTAGTATTTCAGTCTACTATGTGGGTTTTCCACATTTAAAAAGCATAGAATTTTAGCACTGTGTGAAACTCTAGAAGTCACGTAGTCTTAACCCATCCCAGCACCTTTCCAGATAAAGCAAGTTATTGAGATGACCTAAAGCAGAATGCACAGGATCAGATATACTTTCCACTGTTATATTCATTCACATTTTCATAATGCAGTTCTGAATTTGAGTGTTTTTATGTTTACATATTGAAACTGGAGGTGCCAGGGATTTAGCTCAGTGGTGCCACTGCCTGCCTCGCAAGTGCAAGTTCCTGAGTTCAATCCCCGGTACCAAAAGTAAAAAATTATAACAACATAATGAAACTGGACTTAAGTTTCTTTATGATTTTTTTTAGTGTTTTACTTTCTATAACATTTATTTTTGAGTCTCCTTTCATTAACACTGAAGAAAAGTACATTTTTTAAATCCTTTAACTTATGGAATAGGAATACACAGAAATATAAATAATTTGTAAGTTGGAAACCTGATAATAAAATGGAACTCATCACCCAGTTTAAGAAATGGAACATTGGTGGGGCACAGCAGCACATGCCTATAATACCAGCCTTCTGGGTGGCTAAGGCAGAAAGACCACAAATTCAAGCCTAGCTTGGGTCACTTAGCAACTTGATGAGCCCTTGTGTCAAAATAAAAACTTTAATATGGGTTTGGATAAGCTCATGGTAAAGGCTCTGTGTTTAATCCCCAGGACCACCAAAAAAACAGAAAAGGAACATTATCAACTCCAGTGAGAGGTCCTGTGTGTTTCTTACCTGTAACTTCCCAGTTATCCTCCCACCAACCCACAATGCCGTGCAATATCATATGCCATGTTTTCAGACTTCATAAATATCTTTATCTGATTAAGAAATTCTTAAATGGAATTTAAGTTTGTGATGGATGTTAAGCTTTGATAAATGCCTTTTATGCTTCTGTTGAGAATTTTTTTCCCATAATTTGAATTACATTAATAGAATTCCTAAGTTTGCATTTGTTGAATAAATTCAACTTGTTAAATGATTCCCATTGCTTTTATATTGCCAAATTCCATTTGCTCATACATCTTTTAGGGCTTTTGACTTTGCGTCTTTTTCATGAGGGTGGCTAATATTTTTTCCTTCTCATACTGTTCTTGTTTGTTGACCAGATTTTATTGCCTTCACATAATGAGTCAGAAAGTATTTCCCCTTTTCTCTTTTTCAGATAATTTGTCTGGAAATGTTGTTTTCTTGAATACTTGATAAAACTTTCTTGTAAAACCCTCTGGGCTGGTGTTTTATCTAATGTGTATAAATTTTGGTAATTTATGTATTTTTGAGCATTTATTCTTTTCACTTTTTAAATTTACTAGGCTAAAAATTTTTATCATATCATACCAGTTTTTAAAAAACACATTTCTATTCTTCTTTTGGTGAGGCTTATAGCTTGGTTCTTTTCATAAGTAGTTTAGATCCCTTGCTTGCAAATTGTCAGTGCTCTCTGGTGTTTTCAATATTTAGAATTAAATATTTTGCTCTGTCTCTTTAGTTTCATCCTTTAGTTTGGATATTTTCTAATTTTCATTTTGTTTTCCTTAACCAGTGAGTTAAAAGGGTTTTATACTTTCTAGCCATAGTATTTTTTAAAAATTTATTTATTTATTTTTGGGTATCATGGATTGAACTCAGGTCCTTGTGTTTGCAAGGCAGGTGGCGGAACCACTGAGCTAAATCCCCGGCCCCTAGGATTTTTAAAGTTAATTTTGAAGTCAGTGCAAAGGATAGCTACATTGTGATTTACATGATATAATTTTTTTTTTGAGGTTTGCTTTATGGCTTAGTCCATGAATTTATAAATATTCCTAAGGATTGAAAAAAATGCCTATTCTCCAGTTGCTTGTCCTAGATTTGTTTCTTATATGGAGTTGAAGTTTTACTGTACGTGTGTATTGATTTTTAGCCTGCTTTTTTATATCATTTACAGAAAAACAAGTATCTCACTTTGATGATGGATGAGTCCCTTTTTCCTTGTAGTTTTTCTTTATTTTGGTTTCGTGTTTTGTTTACCTATTAGAACTGTGTATGAGTAGAGCATAGAAATTGTAAATTGTCATATTGTGAATTAAATCATGTTCTTTTAACCTTCTGTAATTTTTTTGCCCTAAAATATATTCCCTGTAATATTAATATAGATACTTAATTTTATTCTGGATACTCTTTTTTTTTTAATTCTTTAACTTTGTTTTCTTTCTCTGAATTAGATCTATCTCTTAGAAATAGCATTTAATTTAATCTGATGGTCTTTTTTTTAATATCTTAACTGAAGCATTTAATCCATTTATACTTTTACTGTTTTCTCCTTATTTTATTCTTTGTCTTATTCCTTTTTCCTCCTTTGCCATCATTTGAATTGAATAAATATATTCATCTTCTAACTTTTCTTGTTTCGCAGTTGTATTTTACTACTTTTAGTAAATAACTTTGAAATTTTTCCCAACCTTGTTAAAATTTTGACTCATCCTAAGTAGTAATAAGATTTTCAAATCAGCGTTATTCTTGCCTATGCTGTTGCTCAGAATAGGAATTTCATTGCTATCTTATTTATTTGCAGGGTACTTTTATAAATTAGTCACTGTTTCTGACACTTAATATTTCAAAATGTAGTCTTATGCCTTATTTATTGATGTGTTCCTAATGGCATCTTGCTCCTTTTATGAAGGAGCTGGTTTTTTGTTTTTTGTTTTGTTTTGTTTTGTTTTCTGGCTATAGTATAATGCTTATAAATACCTGTGGTTCAAACAGACCAGTTTTGCTCATCTGAGAGTGTTATTCTGACCCCATTCTTTACATTTTTGTTGCCTAAACAATTCTAGGTTGGCAGTAAGTTCTCTGTCTGCACTTAATAGACATTATTCTACTATACTTTTCTGCCTTCTCTTGTGTTATAACTGTAGAGAATTTAACTTACATTCTTTTGTAGATACAAGATGAATATACTTCATCCAAAATGTATGGGACCAATTATATTTCAGAGCTCAGATTTTTTTTCAGATTTTTGGAATATTTGCATATATATAATGAGACATCTTGGGGATAAGATTCAAGTCTAAATATGAAATTCATTTGTGCTTCATATGTACCATATAATATATAAGTAGGGGTGAGGAGAGAGAGCTTTATAAAGTCAAAACTTTTTACATTATCTTTAAGTGTATTTATGTGTTTTGACTAGGACCTGACCTATGAGGTCAGGTGTGGAATGTTTTACTTGTAGAATTATGTCATCACTCAAAATTGTTGAGTTTCAGAGCATTTCTCATTTCAAATTTCTGGATTAAGGATGCTCAACCTGTAATCTGTCTTTTTCCTCTGTCTGCATTTTCTATCTTTTGTCTATCTTCTAGAATCTATGTATATCCCATATTGACCTCAGGATTTGAGTTTTTTCTAGTTTTTTTCTTGAAATTTGTCATAATTGGGATTGTTTTACCTTCCATTGATTCCAGAAATTTTCTTACACTTTTTTTTTCCTCCTTTTTTTATTAATATGTTTGTGACATATAGTAAATACATTCATCATGAAGTATTGATTCATATCACATCTTAATAGTTTTATCTTTTTATTTCCTTTTTTCCTTACCTCCATCCCATCTCCCCCCTTCCCAGATTCCTTTCCCATATCCACAAAGTCTAGCTCCCTGTTTCCTACAATCTGTCTTTTATTTTGCTACTAAATTTTTTATAGATGCGCAGCAGATACACTTTCTCCCTTCCATCTGGAACTATGACAAAGACAGATTTACTGCTTTTCTTTTCCTAATTCACTCTTTGCCTGACAACAAAGCCTTCTCTGACTTACAGCCTTAAATAGAAGTTTCTTCCATTGTAGTTCCATACTATAAAGGCCCAAGACTTTGTTGTGTTCCTTTCAGTGCATCCAGCAAACAAATCAAAATCTGTAGGTCATTGATTTTCCCTTGAAATCCCCAGGGCTAGAATTAAACCTTTCTTCTCTCTTGATCTTTTAGTCTCATCTTTACTTTCTTGCAAGCTCATCAGTTTTGAAAGAGTAGCCTGCATTAATGCGTGCAAAATTTTATGTATGTGTGTATAGAATATTTTAGAGGCTTTATTTTTTCAAGCGTGTTTAATCGAGAATCATATTTTTTTCCTATCACTCTTTCCTTTAGGTGAGCAGTAGGTCATCCAGTCCTAGTGTCAGAATGATCACTACCTCAGGACCAACCTCAGAAAAGCCAACTCGAAGTCATCCATGGACTCCTGATGATTCCACAGGTGACTGGTCTAGTTCTTTATAATAAGAAAATGGGGTCAGGGATTTAGCTCAGTGGTTCCACCACCTGCTTCACAAGCGCAAAGTCCCAAGTTCAATCCCCAGTACCAAAATAAGAACAAACAAAAAAATTCAGGCTGGAGATTTAGCTCAGTGGTTCTGCCACCTACTTTTCAAGCACATGGTCCTGAGTTTGATGCCTGGTCCAAAAATAAAAAAGATAGCCATCATTAAAAAGATATTGAATTCATCATGTTTATGTTCATTTAGCCCTGTCCTTAATCTTTGCAAAGGCAAGCATTATATAGTAGCTTAAATTTTCAAATTAGTAAAATCAATTAGTGATAACATGAATAACTTGTTAAAATCTGATTGTCTGGAGGTAATGATGGAATATTCTATTATCGGCATTCAGTAAATGATGTGCTGCAGTACAGTTTACTTTTTTTCTATGTCATTAAGAGAATACCTTAATAAATGATAATTTTATTTATATTTTATTAAGTGAGAGAGGGAAAGGTGGTGTCTTAGACCTTGGAAAATTAAACCATTTGAGATTTTATATAAGATCAACTGTGTTTTTAATAGTAATAGTGGCAAGTAGCTTGAAATTTAAAAGTCACCTTTCTGATTTTACCAACTAAAATATGACTCATTTATTTATAGATATTTGGCATGGTTTCGTCAAGTTTGTAATTTAATTTTAAAAAATTAACAGGGTGATTTTCATCTGTGTCATGTAATTTAGAACTATGTTTAGCCCAGGGTGTACTCTCTAGTTTTAGTAAGTTTAAATTTAGTGATGGCAAAAACTTCTAAGTTTCATCCCTCGCACAGCTCACCACTACTCAACATGTGTAGAATTCGTCATAGGCAGAGAAACGTAGATAGTAAGGTGCTCTTGCTGGATTTTGTCATTAACATTCAGGTGATGCCAGCTTTTGCTTACTGAACCAAAGGAGTACCTTCCCTCTCATCACAACATTTGTCTGAGTTCGGGATTCAACTTGGCAAAACTTCCTAACTTCAACATGGACTAACCTAGATTTGTGTGGCAGATGGTCAATTCATGGGAGTAACATCAAAATTCTTATAACTGTCTCCTGTAACCACTGTTTCCAAGTGGAAACAAATGTGTGTCTCTACCCATTTAATTTTTCTTTTCTGGTAGCTAGAAATACCACAAAATATCAATAGCTGGAAAATCTTACAAGTTATAAAATCTTACAAGTTGTAATAACCAAATTTCTTTCTTTGAAACAGATTGCAGATGTATCCCTGCACAGAAATTGTATCCCTAATAGAATAAATTGTAGGGAACAGATAGGTAAACCCTTCTCACCCAGGTAAAAATTAAGAGTTTAAACATTACTTAAAACAACCTAATTAATTAAAACTTGTTTTAATTTCTATGAGTTTCTGTATATTTTGAGAGAAAAGTAAAGAGTATAACAATTTCCTAATCATAGCAGATAGTGAGTGTTCTTCTGTTTCTACTTATAATATAGTAGGTATACAGAAAGGCGCACATAGGCAAGGGATCAAGTGAGAGAAATATACACACCCAGTGGAGAGAGCCACACTAAAGAGTTTCTTTCTGTTCTTAGTACTGTGAAAAAACAGACATAGAAAGTATGGCCCAGTCCTTGTAACCATGATTAAAATCACTGTAAACATTTACATGAACTCATCACAGTATCTAATTACCTTCTAACTTACAGTATTAACTGAGGGTTTTAACGGGAAAAAAATCAAATAACACGTGTCATAATCTACTCTTTCAGATTCTTTAATGATAAAGCAGAAAATAGAAGGCAGCATTCTCATGAAGGAAGTGCATACTTAAAAAATATGAGATGTGAGGCTGGGGATTTAGCTCAGCGGTTCGGTGGCCTGCCTTGCCTTGCAAGCGCAAGGACCCGAGTTTGATCCCTGGTACCAAAAAAAAAAAAAAAAAAAAAAAGAATATGAGATAACAAGTGTATGTTTAGGGGACCAGAGGAGATTTGGCTAATTTAACCAAGCCAGTGTGAGTCTTAACATTTGGGAGGAGTTTAGATTTGATTAGCAATTGGAACATTAAAAAATAAAGTCTTGTGAAGTAACCTTGCTATCTTGTGACCAGTTCAATTTCAATTTTGCTATAAATGAGAAAGTAAAATCTTACTTCTTGGCTTTAGGAAAAGAGTGAAATGCAATAAATTTAAATTTTCCACCATGGAAGGACTTGATTTGAATAACACGATGCTTGGGCTTTTTTCCACCCCCCAGTATACTGTGAAACATTGATGTATTAAAATACATTTCAGGTACATCTAAGTTACTGATGGGATGGTATTAAGGTATCAATAAATTAGGAAGAATAAGAGAAGTAGAAATGTTAAGTTGAGGACATTTTGATACTTAATTTTTCCTATTAAGTGAGGGGATGTCATTTGTACTGTTTTGATTTTATAGAAAACAGTGCGTTTGTGGTTATGTAGTTTGAAATTTTTACTGTGAGTGAGTGAGAAGTCTGGTCGGAGAAATAACAAAGTATAGTTCTTGTCTAGTACTTTAAATAGCACTTATGTTAGTATGTTTTTAGGGTATCTTGAGGTTCTGCTAGGCCATACTCTTTCTTTCTCTATGGAATTCCACTATTTAATAAATTGCCTTTTCAGTTTGAAATATAAACCTGACTATTTAAAATTGCCCCTCTCCTAATTTTCCACTTAGTACCATTGGTAATAATCATAGTCACTACCACCAAGTGTTGAGTGCTTGAAACATACCAGCATTGCATGGTGTTCCTCTAATGCATTATCTCCTTAGCCCTGATTTAGCTTGTTAGCTTTAGTGGTTACTTGCAAGCACATTCTTAACGTCAAAAGTGGGAGGCTAAGGACCAGGCTCAGTGGTGCCGCCACCTGCCTCATAAGCAAATGGTCCTAAGTTTGATCCCCAGTACCAAAAAACAAACAAAAGAAAGTGGGGGGCTGCTGAAAGTGTGGCTCAGTACTGTCAAGTCCCCGGGTTTAATCCCTAGCACAGCAAATTTAAAAAATAAGAGAGTATCCATCATCAATAAGCTAAGAGGTTACTCAGCCATCAAACCTCCAGCTTATTGTGCTGGATTGAGTGTGTACCCTCTACTGTCATCCTCACCTTGCCTTTCTAACACTCTTTCAGTTGTGGCAGTTTTTCCCCTTTTGAAACATAAAAGCTTTCTGGTCAAATTATTGGATAAAATTTATTGGGGTTGTTTAAATTAGCCAATTTAACTCATTATGGCATGACATGAAGCCACAGTTCTAAACCTCATTTTTATGTCCATATTTTTGTATGTGTAATATGCTTTTGTCAATATCTCTCTTTCACATTGTGTTCTGTTTAGTTTATAGTTGACATTGTAGAATATGATTGTACTTTACTATCTATAATCAGGTGCCTCCTTTTACCTTGAGAATGAAAGATGGTCCTTTTTCATTACTAATAGCAATAACTTTTTATTTAATGGTATTTACTTCAGAAAAGGGACACTAAATTTTATGCATGCATTCTTGGCTGTTGTTTATAATTATTTATAACAGAAAATAAATGAAATATGTGTTTGAATTCCAGATACCAATGGATCAGATAACTCTATCCCTATGGCGTATCTTACACTGGATCACCAACTACAGGTAAAAGAGCGCATTTTTCCACTGAATATCTCAGGGGCTGTGAGTACCACAGGCCTTGCTCTCTGAAGCATGAAAATGTTAAAACCACAGGTATCAATGTAAGTTCTGAGCTAACTTTGACAAAAGGATGCTAAGATTTTTCTAGGGCATGGCTTAACGCTTTATTTTTAAAATATCATTGCTTTAGTGCTATAAAAATATATCACAGTCTCTGTCTTAACTCTCATCTTAGCTAGTTACTGAGATTTTTTTTTTTTGTTCTGGTATCGAACTTGAGCCCTTGCGCTTTCGAGGCAGGCAGCAGAACCACTGAGCCAAATCCCTGGCCCTACTGAGATTTGACTTAATTGTGTTTTAACCTTCCTGATTTATTTTCAGCCTCTAGCACCATGCCCAAACTCCAAAGAGTCCATGGCGGTGTTTGAACAGCATTGTAAAATGGCACAAGAATATATGAAAGTTCAAACAGAAATTGCATTGTTATTACAGCGAAAGTAAGTCTTTTATAATTTTTTTAAAAAAAGTATTTTGAGTTCAAAATATATAAGACAACAACATTATTTGAAGACATGAAAAACTTTCATCTTGGAATTAGTCGTTAAATAAGGGACAAGAAAAAATATGAGAAAAGGAAAAAATGGAAACAAAGTGTAAATAGGGGAGGGTGGAGGGGGTGAAGGGAAGGCAGGGGTATGGGGAAGAAATGAGAATCAAGATCTGACGTGTAAAGGTACAAGATCCCAATGATGAATGTAACTGTACTGTATACTTAAAAAAGTACCGATAAACTCAATAAGATTAAAAAAAGAAGACGAATTAGTCATTAAACATTTCCAAGTAGAGATTTATGGTAAGTTTTAAGCACTCCTTGACCCTGTTTTTATACAAAGCTCAACCCTTTTGACTATGTCATATTATGTTAGTATTAAGGAAAATAAACTATATACCCAAGTGTTTTATGTTCCCAGAGTTTTACAGTTAGAAGTTAGATTCATTGTTATAAAAAATTTATAGTTTCCTTGATCACTGGTTTACTAACATTCAGCTGTACTTAGAGCATTTTTGTAGATATATTCTTTTCTGTTGGATGTTTAAGAGAGTAGTATTACTTGTTGTAATTCATACCTAAGAGCTTTTCTAGAGAATTTTATACTACTGTGTGTTTTTCTGAGAGTTACAGAAACTACCTTCCTCCCATTTTTAAGAAATCTAGTCCAGTTTCCACAGTGCTATATGCACAATTCTTGTGAAGAAAAATAAAAATTTCAAGTTTCCTAAGCTTGACCCTCATGAAATCTTACACTTATAAAGCCAGTTTATGAATGTTAACTAAAATCAAATTTTGTAGGAAAAATAATCATGGCAACTATGTATGTGAGGTGATAGAATTCCCTCTACTAATTTTAATCTAAATTAATGAAGTTTTTTTCTAAGTAACCTATGAAAAGTTTTGTTTGTGCTTCAAAATAAAAGAAAGAAAAATAGTTTTATCAGAAAATGTGTTGATTCAATAATGTGTAGGACATTAAATATTATAGTCTGGAAATTGTAGAAATAATTGTGGAACTGCTAGCATTTTGTATTGGGGGAAAAAACCCTGTGTTTGTTACTTCACATGTTTAATCTATCATTCTTAATCATTTGAAAAGAGAGTTCTGTGCTAGAAGAAGTAAAAGGATGTAGGGGAATGTGAAAATTGTGACAGTTTTGATCAGTTTAAGTACGTTAATGAGCTATTAGGCAGTTATTTGAGAACATTTTATTATTTGTTTATGCCAAATATCCTCTTAGTAAACTAATGCTTATTCCCCAAATAAAAGAGATTTAAAAGGCCGGGCGTGCTGGCGCATGCTTGTAATCCCAGCACTGGGGAGGCTGAAACAGGAGGATCGCTGTGAGTTCAAGGCCAGCCTGGGCTGCATAGTGAGTTCCAGGTCAGTCTCGACTTCATAGTGAGACCCTGTCTCAAAAAAAAAAGAGATTTAAAGACTTTATGGAACTATTAAAGTCACTGATCTTTCTTGAAAATATTTGCAAATCTACGTGGTTTAAATGTAGAACTTTGTATCATTCTTACTGTTAAAATAGGAAAGGGCTTTCAGTTGGAGAACATCTCTTCATTAGCTTGCAAATGTTCTATTAACTACCAGTCGGCACTATAGTTAAATAGAACTGTGACTTCAGAATACAGATGAATATAAAAGTACAATGTGAATTGTAAAACCTTATTTTTTTACCTTAAACATAGCCTCTTTTCTTCCTCCATACACAAAAATATCAAATCAATGATCCTGAAACTATGTACTTCACCATTTGTCTCAGTACAACTACTTATTCAAAGAATTATGATATTTGTATGGTTAAACCAGAAGAGTGGATAAAAAGTTTCCATTCTGCCTCAATTCTGTTTGAGTAGTGTACTTACAATGCAGAAAGACAGACTCAGAATAAAAGTTCTTATTAAGTGAGCTTTCATCATGAGCTACTAAAGTATAAATTTTCCATCATGTATAATATTTGTTATGTGGTGTTTGTTTTTAGGCAAGAACTAGTTGCAGAATTGGACCAGGATGAAAAGGACCAGCAAAATACATCTCGTCTGGTACAGGAACATAAAAAGCTTTTAGATGAAAACAAAAGCCTTTCTACTTACTACCAGCAATGCAAAAAACAGCTAGATGTCATCAGAAGTCAACAGCAAAAACGGCAAGGCACTTCATGAATCTCTGGGACCGTCACATTTTAGAAAACATGAAGAAAGACTTTTTTTTTAAGAAAAGAAAAAACCTTTATGACAACTCATGAGTGTTAGCTTTTTTGGCGTGTTTTGAATGCCAGCTGCCTGTTTTTGCTGCCTTTGTTCCGTCATTTATTTTCTCATGGTGGATCTGCAGTTCCACTGTCTCGTTGCATATGATGGGATCGGTGGTTTGGATGAGCAGCACTCCTCAACTTCAAAACGTGCAGTGGACTATGGCTGTAAATGCATGCTCATTGTGTGAAGGCTAGCCTAACAGAACACGGGGTATCAAACTAGCTGCTATGTGCAAACGTCATCTTTTTCCCATTCTAGAGGTGGAACCTCAAAATGATTTTGTTCTTATATCTCATCTCAAAAAAACTAATATTTTTTCCAAAAGATGGTATATACCAAGTTAAAGACAGGGTTTTATAAATCTAGAATAATTGGTGGTATATTACAGGCACACAGAATCTTTAGTGTTAGTTCAAAGTGAGGGCTTGATGCCAGCACATCCTTGGATCAGTACTGAACTTAGTTCCGTCTGTAAAATATTTAAAGGTAAGTGGTGGCTGTTGTATCTAATGAGCAATTTTACCACTTTTCAGTAGAGTAAAAATCATTGAACAAATGGAGTGCTCTCTCTTTTTTTTTTTTTTGTGGTTGTACTGGGAGATGGAACCCAGTAGAGCTACATCTCAAGCTTTTTTTTGAGACAAGATCTGAATAAGTTTCCTAGGCTGGGCCCAAATTGTAATTGTCCTTTCTCAACCTCCCAGACTGTTGGGGTTATAGGCGTATACTACCATACACAATTTCGAGCTCTTTTTTTTTTTTTTTTTTTTTTTTTTTATATGTGTGTTAGAACTGTAAGCCTTTTATGACTCTAATATTAGTGTCTCTTAAAAGGCTGAAGAACATGATCTAACTTAAATGATCATTCCTCCCTGAAGTGATTATTGGATTGACTATATATTTAAAACAACAAAGAAAAATAATGGAAAGTGGAAGTACTCCAGCTAAAAGGCTTGGTCTTAGATTTCTTTTTATGCTAGCAAATGAGGAATAAACCAGGAAAATCAGGAGAAATTAGTAAAGAAGTTAAAGGAATAAAAATAAATATTCAATTTGCCCTTGATATTGGAATAACTGATTTCCTTGCGAGTCCCTTCTGTAATGCCTGCTGCCTTTCAACACTTTTAAGAGAATTCAACACTTATAAAGAGAATATTTATATTGTTAATGATACTTTGCTACCAACCTTCAAAATAACTTAATAATGTCATTGAAATAATAAACTACACAGGTCTATTTTTTCAGTTGGTATTAAAATAAGTCATATTTTGATACCAGTAAAGGGGTGTATTTTAAATAAGGATGTCATCAGTCTTGTTTTTATAGCATTAATGTTTTATGAAGAGAAAATAAAAAATGAAAATATAATTGCTCTGATTATTGGAATGCTGTCATGATTGTATTGTAGTTTTTGCTCTGTTTCAGATAAGGAAGTTGATCTAAGAAGTTACCAAAAACTATTCTTAAAAATGCTAAAGCAGGTAACTTTTTCTTCCATTATATTTTTCCTCCCATTGAGTTTTATAATGAACTCCCTTGTGTATACAAGCAATAAAGGTAAAGGACAGTTTGTAATAAACCGTGTCATTTTCAGCTTCTTCAAAAGCTTACCGGAATTATCTTCTATCACTTTATTTAAATCAGAGGAGAGTTTTGATTTCCAAAAAATATTATTACCTAGCTGAGATTATTATTGGGCACACAGCATTTGATGTTCAGGGATGAATGGTAAGGGTTTATTGTTCCATTAAGGTTTAGCATTAGAGATTTCACATTTTATTTGTGGACATTCATGTGCTTTTAGCATACTTAAAGGAAAATATATTATTATTTTCATTTTTATTATATGCAGGTACTTCCTAAAAACAGCCAAATAAGTAAATGGAAGGAAATCATAGATTTAGTCATAGTACCAAGTGCAGAAGATTGAACATTTGCTTGTTTATTCACAGTAAATTCCTTGAGATTTTCTGTTCTGCCTGAATAGTAAGCCAATTTCTATCTTACTCTCTTTTTAGTAGTTGCATTGCCAGTCTCACCCCATTTTTTTTTTAAAGTTCTGATTATCCGCTAAAGATGGATACCTAAACAGATACCATGGATAATTAAAACCTTAATAGTTTTCATCAATGTCTTCATTCATTAAAGCTTCAAACAGATATTAACAGGGAGCTAACCCTTTAATAATTCTGGATTTTCAATTTAATCTAACTTTTTTTCTGGGAAGGTAGAAATAACAAACAGACAAACAAGTTACTAAAACGTCCTAGTCTAAGAAATTCACAAACAATCCCTTAACAAATATTAATTATGTTTTATTCTTGCCTCCATGGAAAGAAAGCAAAGCTTTTCTGTCCTCTAGAGGAAAGTATTCTGTAACAGTAAAAATGGCTTTTGGGAATTAGAATTAAATCAGTTAATATTCACCTTATAACAACACAGCAAAATGAAAAAGGTTTTTGGTTTGTTTTGGGAGGGGTTGTTTTTGTTTCGGGGGTCTTTTTGTGGCTTAAAGACATTGAATGTCTTTTTTTTCTTCAGGTTTGTTTCATGTTGGTAATTTCATCTCCTGTCAATAGCCAGAGCTCACAGGTCTTCCCTATGAAATTTGTTTCATTTCTGTAACTGTGATTTTCAGCATTCAACTCTTCTCTTCAAGTGGTAGTAGGTTCTGATGTCATTTAGAACATTTTATGTAAAATAATGTAATGGAAAAATTCTTGTATATACTGTGTAAAGGAAGCTTTTTAGATTTTTTTAAAATAAAACTCAGATTGTTGTTCTAAACGGGTACATAAAAATGGTTAAATGGCTTATATTGGCAAGTGAGCTATGATGTGTTCGCGGTAGCAGTGTGTTTATCTAACACAGAACTTAATAAAACCTGAAATGTCAGTATTCTTATAATAATCACACCATGTATTATAACCATGATTTTTGAGAAGGTGGAGCAGCCAGTTTACAGCATACCTTTACCATTTGAAAATTTCAGGTTAAATGAATGCTCTTCGCTGTTTCATCAGTCTTAATATATATGACGCATAACCCAACATACAGATGATTCTTCCCACAAGAAATCTGGTTTATTATAGTTTCCTAAGTTAGATTTCTTTTATCAACTAACTTCTCAACCGGAAGGTGTGCACCCATTTTTATAAACCCAACCTTCATTTTTGTAAATTCACCCCATTTGCTCATTTTTTAAGTATATATTGATAACCTTTTACAAGCTGAGCTACTGCTGCTAATGCCAAATTACATGCCTACATCCATTACACAGTAGTCGGATGAGGTGGAGAAATAAACTCTAGAATTTTGATGGTACCTGGGTCTGCTTTGCCATCGACATAATCTCTTTTAGCAGAATCTCATATGATTTAATCTCATATATGATTTAATCATATGTATAACTCCCTTGCGTTTTTGTTGGAGTGTTTGATCTCTATATGTTAGGCGTTAGGAATGGAAATGGACATGGCAAGTAGCGTATCGATAGGTCCCTGAAGGTTTATCGCACTGATTCTTTATTGGCTTGACTCCTTTCAAAGTTTTCTATTGCACTGTTAAATTGCAGCTGCTTCCAATTGACTTACCATCCTGGGAAATTTGAGAAATGCTTTCAGTGACGCTGCTAGCAATCTTCTTCACAGTATTTCACGTGGTGTCTCACCTAGGTCCGTCACTGGTACTCTGTGCACTGTGCCGTGGTACACAAAACGATACCTAGGTTTGCTGTAGCAAATCGTGCAGTGCTCGCCACCTTGGCACTTCTTTCCATCAGTGACCAGCCACCGCCAGGCGCCATGCAGCCCCACCCAGCAGAACGAGTGGATGTCTTCGTAGTTATTACAGGAATGACTCATGGATTGATTCTTTCACAAAATCAAATTGTACTAAAGAAGCCTGAAAATATACTTGAGACCTTCTTTTGTGATTGAAGAATAAGTGGGTGATACTCTCTCATCACACACTCTAGAACACTTGGCTTCTAATCAGTTTCCTACTAAATACCCATATAAAATAAGATGTATTGCAAAAAGTTTGTGTCACCCTTGCTCATTTTGCATTACTATGAGAATCTTTTAACAGTTGTTACTTGAAGATTTGAAATATATCTATTATCTAAGTTACATATGAACAAATGAGTAAAATTTTTTTGTGTGTGTTACCGGGCATCGAACTCTGGTCCTTGTGCTTGCAAGGCAGGCAGCAGAACCACTGAGCTAAATCCCCAGCCCCTAAAATGAACAAATTTATGTGTTTCCAAAACAGATCTACTTTTGAACATGATACTCTTCAGTGAATTCTTAGTCAAACTCGATTTGACTACATAATTCTGCCTATCCATTCATGGTTCCACATTTTACATGTAGGAAGGTCGAAGAAGTGGTACAAATTTCCTTGCTCTAAGATGAACATTTCTTCCCCTTTCACTTTCTTTTTTCATGCATATCAGAAAGACCCTTAATGTCAGGGTTCCAGACACCTTCTCTCTACAATTATTAGAAATAGATTGGCTACTGCCTAAAGTAATGGCTTAAACAAGATAGCAGATGATCTGTGTGGTGGTGGGCATATAGTTCCAGCTGCTTTTTTTTTCGCTCATACCAAAATCTAAAGTAATATAGCATCATGGCCAAAGGAAAGGGGAGGAGCACTGAAAGTGTACATCACTTATACTCAGATCCTTTGACCAGAACTTTTGTCACACGGCCACCACTAGCTATAGGGAAGACTGGAAAACTTATTTATAGTGGGCAGCTCCATGCTTAACTGAGTTTGGAGTTCAGTTATGAGTGAAGAATCAAAAGCATATAGAGGACAGTGAATAGCCTCCAGCACACTCCCCCGGGGAAAGAAAATAGGCCACAGCCTCTTTCACTTCCTCTGTCCCACTCTGCAAAAGAGTTTGGCTAACTTCTCACCAGAGCGTACGAGTAACTTGCATTCTCATTGACATAAGAATCTGACCAATGTGGTGTATACATACTAAAGATTTTAGTAGATATATTGACACAGCTTGAAAATATAAAAGGAAATTTCAAAATGTGTTTTAAGTTGGAATACTTTAGTTGGAAAACAAATTTGAAATAATATAAACAGTATCACTCTGTGCCCCTTAGAAAATAAACTTTTCTTCATTGGTTTAGAACTTGGAATACATTTTCTTGTTTGGTAAAGTGAAAGAGCTGGGTTTCTGACTCCATTCACAAGAATCTATCTGGTCCTTAATAGAATTGAAGTAGTGGCATTTAATAGAACAATGCCTACAAAGACTTGAAAGAAAAAAGCAGTTGATGTATTCTGATACTGACATAGCAGTGGTTTTTTCCTTTTAAAAATTATTTTCCTTTTAATTAGTGACTGCAGTGATGATAAAAACCAGGAGAGGAGAATAGTTTAATACTCTGACTATGTTCCACTGGGAAGGGATATTCCACAGGGCCACTGAGTGGTCCATGAACCCAGGGCCCTTTGTCACGGCACAAAAAGTAGAATATTGGAACTGGTGGTGTCAACTTGAGTAAGCAACACTCAGCTAAACTGGATTAGCATAGTTCTGGGTGTGGCTGAGGGGATTTACTGAAGACAGATGATGACACCAACCAATACATTTGTCACCTGAATGCAATAAAAGGGAAACAAGGAAGGCTCCCTCCAGTCTTCAGTCTCACCTTGGATATTGCCTCTTGGCTTCCAGCACAGGCTCTTTAGCCTCCAGTGCACACCCTGCAGCCTTTCTTCAAAGACCCTTCAGCCTCCTGATAAGGACTGGTGAGGGACACGACAGTGAGCTTCAGGCTGACAATCCTTCCAATCTCCAATGCACAGACAGACCTCTGGCTCTGTGGGCAGCCGTTGTAAGCCGATCTTGTCATTTCTTATATATATTTGCATATCTTCCATTAAATCTTTCTTTAGTAAGCACTGACGGATACAGGCATGCATCCCACAAGGGTAAGAACTTCTTCCCACTCCTGGACCTAACCTGGATCCCTGCAGGGTACATGAGGGGCTTCCAAAGCTACTTCATTTCTGTCAGACCCATGGGAATTAATCATTTTCTTACTCTTCTTGCTGAGATTTGTTTTGATGACTTTTAAAGTAAGGAAGAAAGCACACATTCTTGAGGAAATTTTGCTTCAGATTGAGAGGGTAGTATCCAAATACATGTAACTTTTTTCCAGTTCCCCAAGTAATTCTGTTGCACAAATATGGGAACTGTCAATACTACAAAGTGGGAAAAAAGGGCCCTGTGATTGTAAAATTTTTAGATCCTAACCCATCTAGTAATGTGAAAAGTAAGTGGATGTCAGAGAAAAATGAAATCTTCCACATTCCTGAAATCACAAAAGATAGGAGCATGATGGTAAGACTAAGGAAAGATGCAAAGGTAATTTTGAAAAACTGGAAAAGCAAATCAAAATGCTTTTAGATAAATGGAGGTCTGGGGTGGGTGTGGAGGGGATGTACCTTTCTACAGAGTGCCCAAAATGTATATGGGTTTTGGGAAATGAAAAACATGAATATTTTAATACAAAATTTATTGAGACATCATGAGAGTGATACAAGTTACCTTTGGCCTCTGCAATTACAAGATATGCTCAGAGTGGTGGCCATAACTTCCAGACATTTATTAGTACAGTGAACTGCTGCTTGGGTAACTTGGTCATTGAGATTGCTGCACATGCATTTTCAATTTCTTCTCTAGGGCCAGCAGCATAGTGAGTTTTCTGCTATATATGATATCCTTTAGGGTATGTCACACAAGAATACCATTTGTTGAAAGAATATCATACTATTTTTCTTTTCCCGAAGTGTGTATGCATTCTTTGTAGGCTCTGTATAAGGAGGGAAACTTGAACTATCTTTTCTTCCATCCCTGTGGAGAAATGTAAAAAGTAAAAGTAAAATTAGGAGTTGTTTTAGACATATGCTATTCTACAATTACAGGATTTTTTTTTTTTTTTTTTTTTTTTTTTTTTGCTTGGGTTTTGTTCATTTGTTTGTTATTTCAAAAAACGCAAGTGAGGGCCGGGATTGTAGCTCAATGATAAGCTGCTTGCCTAGCATGTGGGATGCCCTGAGTCTGATCCACAGTACCACAAAAGGGCCAGGGATTTAGCTCAGTGGTGCTGCCACCTGTCTTGCAATGCAAGGTCCTGAGTTCAATTCCCAGTACATAAAAAACAAACAACAACAGCCAAAAAAAAAAAAAAAAACTACCACAAAAAAAAGAAAAAAGAATGATCATGTTTATCACAGTATTTAGGGGTGAGTTTTTTGTTTGGTTTTGGGGGATTGGTTGTTTTGGGGATGTTTTTGTTTTTGAGACAGAGTTTCATTGGATTGAATTCAAGTAGGAATGAGATCCTCCTGCCCCAGCCTCACCGTACCTCACTTGTGATATTTAATAAAAGAAAAAAAGGCAACCTGAATTGTCATTAATTAGCATTCAATCAATTGTAGAAAAACTATACTATGTAATACTATGTAATTATTAAAAGAAGATGATAGTTTTACAATTGATGTGTAAGTCTGTTGATCTTGATCCCTCAAAATATTAAAAAATTGACATACCAGAAAATAGAGTTTATAATGGTAATTTATATTTTTAGAAACCTCATCTGTAATTCATTATGTAAACAATTTAAAGTAGAAGTATAAAGTTATATCAAAATGCCCAGGAGACATTTGTGAATATTCACAAATGAAGTAGAATAAAAATGGAATTTCCCAAACTTGATAAAGACCACACTCGGTCAGGGATTTAGCTCAGTGGTTTGAGTGCCTGTCTCGAAAACACAAGGAACCAGGGCTGGGGATTTAGCTCAGCGGTTTGGTGGCCTGCCTTGCAAGTGTGAAGACCGGAGTTCAATCCCCAGTTAAAAAAAAAAAAAAAAAAAAGAAACGAAGAAAACACAAGGACCCAAGTTCAATCCCTGGTACAAAAAAAAAGCAAACATAGAAACCACACTCTTCAAAACAGCAACTTATTAAACAGTGAAAATTACTAATATCATCTAATTAAATCTGAAAGATCTGAAACCAAGGGAAGATGTACTTTCTATCATCACCCAACATTAAGTTTCAATTAAATGGAAAAAGACTGCCAAAATTACAATGATTGATGTAAATGCTGGAAATTAAGGTTTCCTGGGTTTGTAGAATGTAAAATAACAAAGAAAGTACATGATACTCAATATTAGAATTAATAAGTGTGTGACAAGTGGCTGTATCTGATATATATCAAAAATAACTAATAATTAGCAGTAGAAATAATTTTTTAAAATATTAACTGATAATAATGAAATTGTAAAATACCAAGAAAGAACATTTAACAAGAAGTAGGAAGAAAATTAAAATCTTAAGAATATAAAACAAGACTAGAATTTAACATTTGCCTAAATAAAAAAGTGTCAAAGTTTTTATGTATGAGTATGTTATATACATTTTTATTTGTTTAAAGTAGCTTCAGTAATTCTAATGGAGCTGGGAGTAGTTTTGATTTGGACAAAATTATTTTAAAGTTGTATAATGTATATATAAACTATGTATTAAATACAAAGTACATGACTTGATAAAATGTAAACACCTGTGAAACAATCAAGATCTTGAAAACTTCCCAATCACGAAAGTTTCTGGCTTCTCCACCCTAAACCACAAAATTGTCAATCAATAGGGAAAAGATTAATTTTAGCTAATTGTGAAGTTATTTAAAGGAATGAGTTAGAGCTATGTGTGTTGATCTGGACAGATATGGTAATACTGCACAAAAATAAGACTTTGAAGAACAAATATAATACTGTTTGTGAATAAATGTAAAAAGCACAATCAAAAAGGTGTGATATGACATGAATAGGAATACAGAAATCAGTGGGGAAGAGATATTCTTATCTGTGGCTATCCCAGGTAGGGTCAGTGGTGGTAAAAAGAGTTGATAAAATCTTTTAGTGGCCATATATAACTGACCATTTTTGCAGTCCTTTGAGAATAATTGTTTTTAGATAATCAGAAATATT